AAATTTGAAAAATGGTGTAATTCCAAAATATTAAGCAGAAGTTTCCCACATTTCATTCATTCAGACAATAGAGAATATGGTGTCAATTTCACCTCTTATTAGTAGCTTGGTAGAAATAACCGGAAAACATGATTGGGCATACTAAATCCTGCATTCCTTTCCATAGAGTTCATGATAATTTCCAGCAACTGACCGCTAACACGGAACAATCACAGACCCTCTGTTGGTAGCTTCGTCTGTCCAACTGGGTGCTGAGACGCCTCCTATTCTCATCCTCGTTTACTTCATTGACAGGAATTTACCCACAGCATTGCCGCTTAAATGTGATGGGATATGTGCGATAGCCCTGACAAGGGCCACTCCCAAAACGGTAATTTTCACACCTACAGTCGCCTAGGCCCCACAGACCCTGTGCCCCAATCATCCTCATTTCACACTCGCACGCAATTCGTTCCCACTCTCTTGAGCCCAATGTATGGCTTCATTCGGAACCGCTGGCGTGGAGCTGGACCACTTCAATTCTCAACTTCTTAACCAAGTATAGCGCACTCTTCTTGTCTCTTACGTCATCAGTCACACCTACTCCTATGGTGTGGTATAAGGTTTAGAAAAGATGAAAAAGCGTGACAACCGATCATTTGATGACAATAACTTCATTTTAAAAAAATCATCATATCATCTTTCACGTCGACTATAGAAACCAACTTGAATGGATTGAGAATGGATCTTATAAATAATGTATTATGACCGAGTAGAAATCACAATCAAGTTGGCATCGAAGTTTTGAAGTCGGCACCAACAATTTACAGCTAGAAAAGCAGATAAGGACCACTGGAGTGTTATTTAAAGAGGAATATTTAGTCGTATACTACTCAGTCACCATATGTGTGAAACTGGCTTGGATACTTGCAGTTCGGATGAATTAGTTTATTATACGAAAATTGTCGAGTCATGGTACCAAACAGGCAAATTAATATCATAGAACCACAAAGTCATGAGACCCAGTTCTCCACTTTCACACCTCCAGCACATTCTATCCTGTTATATAGGGCCCGTGTTTTCTTTTCTTTGGCGCTGCTGGTCAGCAGATGAACAGCTTCAATTTCCCACTTTTGAATCAAGCAAAGTACACACCTATTGTCTTTCGCGGTGTCAGTACCGCGCAATCCCAAGATCCTACTCAGTTATCTGGTATACCCTTGCATGTCACGAGTTACCTCTCACTGAAACAACACAGAGACAATCACTCACTGATATTGTGCCCCTACCACGGTTTCCAATAGCAAACGAAATTAAAATAAATCTAAATCCATAACTTTGCATCTTGAATGATGCACATATTCATTTCTAGACCCCAGGTGGACCCACTCGGTAACTCTTATAAGCTGATTCGAGGTCTGGTACCTAATGTAAAAATCGTATTTTCTTTACTTTTATTTATCCCTCAAGATCTTCTTCCTGGTGATGCCACTTTCTGTTGTTTAATTGATGCCCTTGATATAAGCATCTTCCTTTAGGAGTCCTTGTTGAATCCCAAATTTCTCCCAGATTATCCGGATGGAATGTGATCTTCTTGCTGACTCTTCTCCCTTCTCATCTCCTGTTCATCAGGTTTCTTTGAAAGAGGATATCCACACCTTTCCTGATCTTCCGTTTCCTTGCGTTTGCCTCCTATGAGGCCAGTCTTTTCGTTGCTTTCCAGTAAATTGTGGTCAGAATGATATGTTCAGCTATCTCCGATATTTTAATATCCACGGATCTGTTGAGTTCCAGGGGCTATCTAATTCTTGTGATGACTGTCCTCCTCGTCTCTTTGAGCAATGTTTGTTAGAGTGGAAAAGCTGGTGAAAAACGATGTCTTTTTATTCAGGATCGCACAAATGTTCTCTTTCACTAGCGGCGGCAGTAGCTTTCGAGGCAATTTGCGGAATGGTAGACAAAACAACGGTTTTTCCTCTGTTTCCCTCGTTTTCATAGCATAATCCTCATCCTGCCATCTGTTCGTCATGTTTCGATAGATTTTTTTTTGGATATCCGCGTCACTTTGTACAGTTTATTTTGCCAAAGTGACTATCAGTTAGCCTTAGGTTCCTCATAATCATACTCCAGAGTATTTCAATCTTTACTTTGTAATTATGGTGAGGCTGAATATTTGGCATTATTCTTGCAAAGGAGTTCATTCCGAGCAACCTTTTCTTATACATCTCCTGGGATCAACTGGCCTCTACATCCAAGACTGGTATTTATCCCTTCTGCTCCCCCTTCACCGTAAATTTAACTTTTTCATCAATATCGCTTGCGGAGATAAAAAACAATTTCAGTTTTTCTTTTACATGCGACCATGGTGCGAGCTAGTCATCTAAGCATGGTATAGTTACTATTGGCTGTCGAGGGAATTCTTAGAAATGTCCATTTAACTTGGTTACTTAGATGTTAAGCAACAGACGTGCGAGTGGTCAGCCCATAATTAGACCAAATATCTGATCATATCCGTTTATAGATTCGGTCGTTGAGCCACTGTATCAGTAGTCCTTGTAGCCAGGTCTATCAATCGAAAATCTAACTCTGGCTCGCTTCGTCTCCAGGATCGCCAGCAGTGCCATCAGCTCTTCTCCTCCCGATATTTTCACGCTCATCAGTGCTCACCAAGAATTATATTATCTCTTTTCTGAGGTTTTTTGATTCTTTGATAAAATTTACATGAATTCTTCTCTTTATTTGACAGTCTGCTTTGCATATTTTCGGCAAGATATATATGCTAAATTGCATTCTTTCGTAATTTCATTTTTAATTTGTCGATTTCCGTGTTCGAATTCATTTCCTTTAGCATTGCTTGTGATACCCACTTGATTTTAACTGTCTGTTCGTTTGTTAGTGGCCAATTAGGTGAAGTGTCCATCCTCTGTCCGTCACTGCTATGATAAACCCTTAGTCTTTATGCCGTAATATTTATTCACTTCTTTTCAATGTAGTCTATATCCTATTCGGGCACTCTTGATTCCTCGAATTTTTGAGATTATTTCCATTTCCCTATATCGTTTTAATTCTTCCATTAAATTCTGATATATTTGTCACCCTTGCCTAAAGTGTCCTGGATTATCTTCCTTTCATTCCTAAGTGCAAAAGTGAATCCTTTCTCGAGGGTCGCCATTGCTTTGGGGTAGGGGGACGGAAGATATATTCACTACTTCATCGTGATCCTTTATTTGATGAGATTTTCCCTTCTAAAAGACTCTTATTATTCGCTAGAAATCCCATATTTTTGCCTCTAACCCATCAAGTCCGAAAGCTTTTTGGACAATTTCTCCGCCCAGAGTGTGAATCATATTGAGATCATGGCCAATTCTAAATTTAATATCTACGCACCTAAATTAATTGTCCCTCTCCTTAACGAATACTTTATCTTATTTCTTCAGTGAAGTTTTATATAATATATCAGATCGTTGTGGGAAGGTTATTTTTGCAGTAAGTTCAGAAACAAGGCAAGGTCAATTACTAATTGCTCTCATAAGTGCAATAGTGGGCAATCTTTCCATCCAAATAAGATCGTGGATACGAGGACCAACATAGTGTGGCCAAAGGTGTGATCGCAGTCGCCTATAGCTGCATAGTGTTGGTTTGACCTCATTTTCACAGCTTTTTTTAAGTGACATGGAGACATTGTTGAACTGAGATTTCTTTTTCATTTCCTATCTCAAATATCAAGAAGCCACAGACCGTTGTAAATAGCGATCTGCTTTCTAAGTAAGTCGCAATTTCCAGGCTGTACAGAATGTCTGCCATAGATGCGAGTTTACATTTACGACCCAAACCCCGACGGATTTACTGATGGGATCTAGGCAGGACTCGAACTCCAGTTTAGTCTGTATGAATAGGCTTTTTCAGAAGGCGCTCTAGTGTGAAATTCAGACCCTCTGCTGGATTCATAGTGGGCAGATTGGTCTTCCATGCCTGTCGCAAATCACACAAAAAATTGAGGAACTTAAAATAGAGGAAAAGCTATACTGGTTCGAATAAATTGGCTGTCTGATTATAGACAAAAAAGTCCAAGATAAAACTGTGGAAAGCCGTTGCGACATTCCCAAGTAGTAAAAAGACAAGACGGAATGATATGGAAGAAGCATATTTTCTTTCATTCATATGCGGACAAAAGTGTACACAATTAGCGCGGGAATCGATGACATGCTGGTAGAGGAACATGTCACAGGTGCAGTTATGTTTGTCTGGTTTTGGGTTAAAATCTTTCGTCGGAAACATCATTAAATCTGTACTTCGGTCTGCTGAAATCAGTGCTGGAGATGTTTAGATTGAAGAGGAGTTTTGGGGCCAGGGACGGACAGTGAGGACGGCCATAAGTCTGCGGGGACTTGGGTAACAAACAAAAAGACCTGGTGTATGGATTGGGTCTACAGATTTCTGGAAATCCCGGCTGCAACTAGAAACGAAATCAGGCAGCTGTTTGTTTGTTAATATGCACATGCGCGTATGTAGACGTAGATACATGTTTATGTGTCGACGCCTGTCCATGAGCAGGTGTGTTGACATGGTAGATAAGATGGGAAAGAGAGGGTACGGAAGAAAGAGGTGGAAGTTAATGGGTCAAAATGGCGCAATAGAGGTTGCACAAGTGGCCGAAAAGGATGAGCATAAAAGCAGTCATAGATTCTAATTAGCGAAAGATCAGTTGTGGAAGGAAAATAAAGAGGTGCAATGCACATTCGGTTTTACATCTTTGGCCGATTCCGAAAATGCATCAATTCCTCTGTGTGCTGTCTGAGTGAATCTGCCTTTGCTCACCTTTGCACAAAGCCAAATTTACGAGGGAAGTCCCAACTGCTGATTACGGAGGGTCATTGGGGCATTCTCCAGGGTCCCGTGTCTGCATGCAGAGCAAAACAATGGAATAGACGAGGCAACAGATCGGCTCTCGAGTCGACGGACTGCAATGGCGGTGCCAAGAAAGTGGTAAAGATACAAACAAATCTGATATGGACGTGGAGGAAAATGGTAATGGGAAAGCCCGGTTGACAAATGCCTTCTGGAAGGGAAGAAGAAAGAGAAGAAGAAGCTTTTTTGGCGAACAACCGTTGCTGAGTGCGAGTCCACTGTTTCCACGGCGGAAATGAGCAAGATTGCAGAGCAGAGCAGAATGGCCAGTACATTCGATAGATACAGCAATTTTCGAGGGGGCCATGCGAAGAGAGAGCAAGAGAAAGAGGCTGATGAGCAATGACGAAATAAGGGAGAAATGAAAGAAGATCCGATTGCTCAGCCGCTCCATTCGCGGGTATATCACAAGATAAGGTGCACTATACAAAGACAGGGGCGATCCAGTTGGTTGATGACACAATTTTGGGCATGAAGATGCAGGTGCGTTTGAGTCTGCCGAGACGGAAGGGGAGACTGAGACTTAATTCGCGAAAATTGGCAATACGGCTTGATACAGTGTCGCGCGCAATGTGCTTTGTTTATTATATATATTTGTTTATTCATTTATGCATATTGTCTGTTTGAATGCCGGTGCATGTGTTTGGCGTGAGTTGGGCAGTTTTCCACAGTCACAGCTGCTGTATCGCTAGTGAGTTGTGTTCCTAGTCTGCTCAAGGTACCAAATTTTGTGTTAGGGCGTCCCGTGGGTTGTGCCGTTTGGAGGAGTAGATGAAGCTTCGAAAGACAACATAGACAACTGGCGGGCAGTCAAGGTTAGTTGATATAAAATATTGAACATGCTAGAACGGATTAGACAAAGTTCATTGTTTAGAGAAACTGCCATACGCAACTTGACTAAACCACTATACATTTCCCAAATCGCACCTAGGCCAACATGCAATACCCTCACACTGGTATTCACAAAAATGATCAATTCAAATTGACGACAGAAGAGGGGAAAAACAAGACCATATGTATGGTTATAGGCTGATATTCTGATGAAAAAATGAAGGATAAAATCCAAAAGAGAAAGCCAACCAGAAGAAGATTGAAAAATTATGAAAGAAAAAGAAAATGAAAGAACGAATATAGCCGAATATATATATATATATATATATGCGTGTATGTGTGCACTTGTGATGTGTCTAACGAAAAAAAGGGTTTGCAA